AACTCTGCAAGATCTACAGAGACCATTACTGGTTTCTCAAAACCATTGGGGTATCAATATCAATGAAGGCTACTTTCTTTATTACATATATGATGGTTGATGGGTGGGCTGGAATTGCAAGCGAGATTCTCAGGTTGAAGCCTTTGGTCATTTTTCATCTTAAGAATACGTTCTTGGTGAAAACTGTAAGGGACAGAGAGAGGGCAATGAACCCTAGAAGTGTGGATTTTTCAGAGACTCTTCTAAGCCTTCAACTTTACTTCCCTCTAGGAATTGTATATGTTGTGGTTACTCCCATCCTTCAAACAGCTCTCATTGTGCTTAGATTATCCAGAGAAATTTGGAAGTTCAGAGAAATTTGGTGGACGAATCTGCAAACATCAATATCAGTTCCAGAGAAATTCAAAATTTCTCTGGAGATAAATTCGGAAGTCAGAGAAATTTGGTTAAAACACATTATGAAAACACATTTGATAATGGGGAGAGTTGTTGCTGATCTCTGTGCTTTACCTGGAACCACAATGGGTGTAAGTGCAGGTATTTGAAATTTTATCTGGATCAATTTTCTAATTTTCCCTTCCTTTCTCAAATCAGAGAAATTTGTAAAATTTCTCTGGAAAGTCTTCAGAATTTCTCTGAACCAAATTTCTCTATGATGTGAATTTTCTCTGGACTAATTTTCTCTGGACCAATTTTCTCTAGACCAATTTTCTTTGGATCAACTTGAGGGACCTTAGACATTATGAAAATATTTGGTCCTTTATGCTATAAAATGTTAATACCAGGAACCTTAAAAAAAAAATCCTAAAAAAAATTATGTAATTTTTTAAACCACATAAAATAATCTAGATTTTAAACAAACTTTAAAAATATATTTGTAATTTACCCAAAAATTTAATGGCTCATTAAAAATACTCGTAAATAATAGATAATAATAGAAAGGGCAAATTACATATACCCCCTCGAGGTTTGGCTAAATTACAGATACCCCTGAGGTTTCGGAAATTACATCCCGCCCCCTGAGGTTTATATTTTCATAACAATTTGCCCCCTGAGGTTTATATTTCATAACAAATTACCCCCTAATTTCTTATGCAAATATAGCATTCAGGGGAGAATTCGTAATTTCTCAAACCTCAGGGGTATCTGTAATTTAGCCAAACCTCGATGGGTGTATATGTAATTTGCCCTAATAGAAATTTGTATGAAATACTCCGCCACCGCCACCGCCACCGCCACCGCCACCTCCACCGCTTACTACCTTACCTATTCAAAGCCCGACGTTGAAGATCGACACCGGCAACAACGAAGAATGTTGTTTGTTGAAGTCGGTGATTAGGGTTTGTTAGGTTTTATTTCTTGGCAATCCCGTTTGACAAAACTCCTTTGAGTTGTAATTTTATTCGCACTTTTTATTTCAGTGAGGCTATGAGTGTTTAGATGCGAATCCAACCCGAATTGAGCCTTTCAGAAAAGTTTGTGATGCAAACATTTTCAAGATTGCCACTTCGCTGATTATTACGGGTCAGCTCGCGGCCCGAAGCAAAATGCAAAAATGCATTCAAAGTTGCCTGTTCGATCATGTTATATTTTTCTAGTTTTTCCAGTTTTGGCCGGTCCGCTCGAGCGGGGAAAGGGACGCTCGAGCGGGGATTGGAAGCTCTCAGCATCTCTACAGTCGCCTGAAAAAGTACTGGATGGTGTGATTCGCCGCTCGAGCGGCAAAACCGACGCTCGAGCGTGGAGCCTGTATGAAATCACAGAATTTGAAGTCTCCGCGCGAGCGGGAAGACCCACGCTCGAGCGGACCGCGCGATCCCAGATTTCCAGATTTGATTAAGGAGTTGGTTTTCTTCTGAAACTAGGATTGCTTTGGTTTTTTATAAATAGTTGGTTTTCTCTCAACACTTTTGGAACTTCTCCAGATTTTATTTTTAGATCTTAAGGTTTATATCTGGAGAGATTTTGCTAGTTTTCTTTGATGTTTTATTGAGTATTCAACTCATGGTTTAAAGAGAGTACATCAAAGGTTGTGTTTTGTTCTACAAAAAAGAGAGTTGTTCTTCGGTGGATTCTGAAGAATTCGAGCCTGAAGCTTTGGTGGATTCCGGGGTGGCTCATCGTAAAGACAATTCCGAGGTGAAGATGGGGTTGAAGAGGCACATAGAGGTTGGTTCAATTAGGCTGCCCGTGGTTTTTTTATCACAGTTGGAGGTTTCCATGTGGTTTTTCCCACGTTTAAATCGTTGTGTTTTTTGTCTTGATTGTTTGATGGGATTGTTATATTCTGCTTAAAATTGATTACTAATCACAAATCAACATTCTAGGGATTTCTAGATTTTTCAATTGGTTATCAGAGCAGGCGTTTCTATTTTTTGGTGTAAAGAAAAAATTCCTTTTTAGAACGAGATCTGGTTTGATTTGTGAATAATGGATTCAAAGAGATCGGTTAATTATAAATCCTCGGAGAGAAGAAGGAAAAAGGTTTGGGGGGGGAATTTTTTTTTTAAGGGAAAGGAAGGGGGGGGCTTGCAGCAAAGCTTATGAGAAGTTGTATAAGGAAGTCTCTTAAATTATTCAAATTGAATGGAAAACTCACAAAGAAACTCAAAGCATGTGAATGTGAGAAATGTCAACACTTAAGGTAGGAGATTTCCGAGGCTAGGATCAATGCCATAAGATAGCTGATGATCACAAGTTCTTTGTGCCAAAACTATTGACTTGTGAGACAGAGGAGAATGAGCTTGCTGCAAACCCATGCCATGTATTGAAGAAAGATTGAATCTCTTCGAGATATCACAAAGTTGCTTTAGAAGAACTAATGGTCAAGAAAGAGGAAAGCTCAAGTGTGCTTATGGCTACCATTGGGTCTTTGGAACAAAGGATCAAAGACTTGGCAGGATATCATTGGTCTTCAACACATGGTTGCTGACAAGAGTGGGGCATTTGTCTTTGTTTTGGGTAAGAAAGAGCAAAAACAGAGTGCCTCCTCACTATGATAACAAGAACATCGATGTATCAAATTTATTAGAGAGCTGCTATATATTATTTTTTGTTTTAAACATTTTTTTATATCACTGATCAATCAAGGAAAGGGAGGACAAAAGATTCAACAAGAGGAAAGACTTCTCAAACTCCCTAGAGTTGGTAAGGTAAAAGAAAAGAAGGTACACCCTCTTTTTATTTGTCATCATTGTGGTATGCATGGTCATATTCGCCCTTATTGTTATAAGTTGCATGGGAGAGTGTCTCAAAAGGGTAGGAATTCGAATACTTTTTGGATTAGGAGACAACCTTACATGTCCAGGCAGAATACCAAGATTCATGAGGGTGTTCGCAATGCCACGACATTTACCAAGACCGCTAGACCAAATTTTGTTAAGATCAAAAAGATTTGGGTGAGAAAACTTGACTTGTGTTAATTTGATTTTTTGTTTTAGCTTTTGGATTTTTGTGTGTTATTTTTAATTAAAAAAAAAAAACATGTGTGCTTGTTCATTTTTTTTTTTTTTTTTTTTTTTTTTTTTTTTTTTTTTTAAAAAAAAAAAAAAAAAAAAAAGATTTTCTTAGTATGGTTTTGCAAGCTTGAAATTTTTGAGTGGTCCTTGGTACATATTGGAATTGATGAGAATATCCATTACATGGTAATGTGTGTGTGCTTTCTGTGGTCATTACTCATTTTGGAGTGTATGTTTTTTGATTAGTATGTCTCATTCTGTACACACTCTTGGAATAGCAAATTTTGGAGTCTTCCGCCTTAGTGATTATTTTTTTTGGACTTCTGGCATTGTATCTTTTGCTTTTCTAGAGGAATTGACCTATACTAGCATATCTTGGGTGATGTTGAGTCTCTTAACCACCTACCATCTTTTTGCACTTCCATGGCTTTCCCCTTAATTCTTTGCAGTCTAGCCATGAGGAAAAGGCTACCTCAGAGTTACCAACCAGGCCATCCTTATTATATCTATGCTTCTCTGGTTCGGTTTCCATACTCTTGAGCGTGTCAGCCACCAATGATTGTGCAAAAGAAAAAGAAAAAAGAAAAAGAAAAAGAAAAAGGAAAAGGAAAAGGAAAAGGAAAAATATGCACAAGAAAGAAAAGAAAAAATGTGTGAAAAAAAAGGAAAAAGATTCATTGATTGAGGGGGAGCCTCCGCCTTTACTCACCAAATACCCCTTGATTCCTAGTGGTTTGACTTTCCTATAGTTGTGCTTAGATTCTCTTGTCGGAGGTCCAACTTTCAGATCACTACTAGGATTGAATCTAGTGTTTGTCGAACTCCAAGAGTCACACACACACACTTTTATTATGGGATCTATGCTTTTCACATAATGCATCACTTTCTTTCATGAGGAATCTTCTACAGACTGTGCACATTGTGTTTACTAGTAATTGTGCTTCTTGGATAATCTTGTGTTATTTTAAGGTACTAATCTGAAATTCCTTGCTTGCTCAACCATATTATTTTTATTGTTTTCCTCTTGTTCACTGTTTTCAGTATTCGTGGTTGATTTTAGTGAGGGGGAGTTTGGTTCATCTTGATTTGGGTTGGTAAGGGAGTTTGGTTTCTCTTTGCAAGAGTTGTTTAGCATGAACACTTTGATATGTTTGGAAAGGGAGATTGGCTATATGTTTTGCATGTTACTATGCACTATTTGCCCTTCTTGTATGTTTCTGATATTTACATCGTCATATCATTGCTTGTGTGGTTTATGGTCTTGCTTTTGTTGTTTGAGAGTTGTTTTTCATGAGTCTTAGTTTTCATCTATTCATATTTTCTATCTCATGTTTCAAGATAATCGTGTCATATGTCTATTACTCTTTCATACACTCTTGTGGGACTAATAGTTGTTTTGGAGATTGTGGCACTAATAACTATTTTTCAGATCAAGACCTTGAAAAAGAAGTTGGCTTTTGTTGGCTGTAATGGGTTGGGGTGTTTAGGATTTTATTTGTTAGGTGTGTTTTGTCACGGCATTGCCAAAGGGGGAGATTGTTAATGGGATCATTAAGGTCCGGAAAGTCCAGTGACAGGGTTAGGGAAAGTAGAAGGACCATGCTGGAGACAGAGGAGCTTGGTGTTTCAATTCTTCAAGATTTGCATCAACAGCGGCAGTCTCTCTTACACACCCATGACACGGTATTACCTGACTAATGTCTATGATTCAATTATCGATCATTTTTCAGTTGTGGTACCCTTTTTCCAGAAACATTAGCATACCTCCATGTGGGGTCAAATGCACTTGCTCTGTGTCCGTCTTCGTTTAAGACAACTCCACATTTCTAGGAACACAACTCAATTCTTCTGTATTTGAGCTTTTATATAATTTGTGAATCACTGCCGATTTAATGTTCAATGATGTGCGCCAAAGTGTATTTATCTGATGTTTTTCCTATTTCTGTTGCAGCTTCATGGAGTGGATGATAACATTGGCAGGAGTAAGAAAATTTTAACCAACATATCAAGAAGGATGAGCAGGAACAAGTGGATTATTGGCTCCATAATCGCAGTCCTTGTCGTTGCTATCATCTTGATCTTGTACTTCAAACTTTCCAAATAGACAAAATGTCCTTGACTTAGTTTGTGAGTGTTTCGGATAAACATGAGTTTGTTGTTCTCATTTGCTGTTTATTTCTCTGCAACAGTGAGTTTTGACATTCATTTGATCAATAAAAAGAAGTTGTGCCTCGTCTATTTTATTGTGCTCTTGTGCTTTCTTGTGATATTCTTGTTTGGCAACGAGAATTTGGAAAGGCAGTGCAATAAGAGAACTTCTCACCGTCCTCCCCTGGCAATTGCAGCAAAAATATTTAGAGCAATGCTATATCCATTGAATTTTTGCTCTGAATTTGTGTATACCAATCGTTCGGTTGGTCATCTAAGAACAAGGGTGACAACTGCAGTTGACAAAGGTGATAACTACGGTCAACAAGGGTTATCCTAGTAGTCCGACTTACAAAATTTGGACGATTCAAGTGAGCTCAAATTTGGTGTATGAATCATTTTTTACATATTTATTCAAACTCTCTGTCTACCTTAATGTGCTCCATTTTCTATTATTAAAGAGAGAAGAAAAAAAACGGAGGAGGAAAAACTATTCACATTTTTTAATTGTGCGAGGTAAAAAAGGGTTGAATATACTTTCTACAAGAAAAATTGGGCTATTTTTTCTGATTTAGTATTATGTTAATGATATCGCGTTATCATTGATACGTGCTATCATCAATCGATAATGAACTTATATATGAATAAGGAGAGATGTTATAATGTGCACTCTAAAAAAGATGCATATGGTATGCCTTTCATAACTTTTTCACAAAATTTCATAATTTAAACCCAAAATGTCATAACTTTTTCACTACAAAAGTCATAACTTTTTTTCACTGAAAAATGTCATAACAAAATGTCAGTGTTATAACAAAACTCACAAAATGTCATAACATTATCATTCCTAACTTTAGAGTGCACATCATAAATTCGTTATTTATAACTTTACTACAAAATGTCATAATACACATTACAAGCAATCATAATATTCACCATAAAAAATCATAATTTTTTTATAATGTGCACCATTTAAAAGAGTGCACATTATAAATTTCTCCATGAATAGGTAAACTCCATAATTAAAATCTAATCACCCACCGTAACATGATTATATAACTGTTACATATACATGGCCTCGTTTGAGAAGTGGCTATTTTAGTAGGCTATTTGGCTTTTTGGCTATTTTAGTACGCTAGTTTAGTTTTTTGTGTTTGGGAAGATAAGATGGATTTTATTTGAGTTGTAGTATTGAAAAATATGTTGAAATGATGTTTGAAGTTAAAATGACAAATTTACCCTTGACTTTATTTTTCCCAAAATTGATATATAGGGGTAATATTGTAATTTAACAAACCTGCAGCCTACACTGTTGGAGGCAGTGTAGGCTGCGCTGCTGCAGCAGCCGGTCAAAAGTCAATTTTTTTTTTTTTTTT